AGAACACCCAAACTTCACTTAAACCGAATACCCCTTCACCTAAGAAAACCCCATCTAAATCACCCTCACCCTGCAAACAAAACACACCCAGCAGAAACCGCTCCCCCTCACCCCCTCCTTCACCTCCACAACAGAAAACCCCCAACCTTCAGAAATCCTCTCACCAGAAGACCTTATCTGCAGACCCGGCTCAGAAAGGCTATTCTAAGCACTCCTTTGCCTCAAACCCACTCCTAACAAGAAGCACAAGACAAGAAGTAGATAATTTGTTGATCTTTTTAGCTTCAGTGTATCTAACAATGATGGATTCATTGTTAGTAAATATAATGAGGCCACATCCAAGAAAGATAAGACTCCCCTCTGGATCAAGAAGTGGAATTCCACCAGAAGACCTCCTCACCCGACCAAGAGCATTATACCAGAACGCCTCCCATGCCTAAAGCCAGAGGTCTGGAGATTCCTGGCTTTGAGGATGATCAACCAGAGATCCCTTTCAGGGAATTTATGAATGTCGCTGGAGAGTTTGGAGGACAAGTTCTTGATGGTCTACAAAAGCTAATCATGATCAACAAGGGAGCTCACAACCAGTTCTCTCACATCACTGAGCACTACCGGTCAGACTTGCCTTGCATCTCTCAGAATTTGGATGCTCTGAAAGCCTCCTTCACCCAATTCTGCAAGTCCTCCATAGAAAAGACATATGCTCTTTCCATCTCTGTGAAAAGCATCAATCATGTCCTCTATTATATTCATCAGACTCTGCAAGCTCAAGATGCTACCATTGAGAAACTCTCAACTGCTGTGGATGTCTGCAATGGTCAGATGGCAAAACTAAGGAGCAACTGCAGCAGATAGAGGAACTTTACACTGTCACCTCTCAACAGAATAAGTCTATTCTGGAGGCTGATAATCTCAGGTACCAGAAGTTGGTACAACTGGAAGCAAGCAACCAAGACATCTCCTCTGCCATCAGAAAGCAACAAGGTCTGGTCGAAGGACTCGGCTCTGTTACCCAAACTCTGCCTGAGGTCATTGAGGAAGTCAGAGATACTCAAGCCTCTGAGTTTCACAAGATAGAACTCCTCCTTGGTGATCTTCTTGATGCTGCCAAAAAACGGGAAGAGGATCTTCAAGGTCAGAGCTCCAAAGCTCTAGCTACTCAACCACAGAGACCCTCCATTGATCCCGTTATCTATTTTGAGAGAATTAAGCATAAGAGGACCAGAGAAGGCACTTATAAGGTCCCCTCTGCTCCCAGGGCATCAAAGAACAAATCTTCTACATTCTCCTTCTCTGTATGGAATAAGAATAGCCTCTCTTGACCAGAATGGGAACAATTTGAAGAAATCAGAAAGGGAATGACCCCTCTCCAGCAAGAGAACCTGTTTCTGGACACTGATGGATTTGTCAGAATTCATCATGGTGGTTCCATTGATGAAGCTGGAGAGTGGTGGGTTAAGAAGATAGTCCCAGGAAAAAATATACAGGAAGGTATCCTAAAGGACCTAAACTACCTGGATTGCAGACTCTCCCCTCTATGGAAGGACTACCAGAATCCGAGGGACTTGGCCTCTATCAGAGAACGAGTAAAGAAGCAGCTAATGGAGTATGAAGCAACATGAGTACAGGAAGAAGATTCTTAAACTCTTTAATCTCTGTATCTTTAATTATCTCTCCTAAATAAAATAACAGCCCTGCCTCTTATTTGAACGACACTTTTCATCCAATATCTGTCTGTTCTTGCTTTCTGTTGTTTTGTTCTGATACATTGTTTTACTTGTTTGTCCTAACCCTTACTGATCTCCTATGATAAGTTGCCCATCAAGATTTTATAATGAAAGTTTTTAACTTTATTCTTTTTATGGTGAAAGGCACTTCTCTGGAAGTAGAATATGGGTTTTGGCATCATCAAAAAGGGGAAATTGTAAGGAATAAATTGAATTTAGATTTTGATGATGCTAGCTTTATTGGGATATTAGAGTACCCCCTTTAGAAATCTTGTATTAGATTTTTTTTTCAAGTGTATGTTTTAGCATAGTCGACGGATGAGAGAACCCCAAGGGTTTCTGTCTCGACCAGAGATGCAACAGAGAAGGAAGACCAAGATTTCAATAGAACAACTTTCTACCGTCTCGACCAGAGATACCCCACCCCCACCCCTTACCCCTACCCCCACCCCCACCCCCACCCTTGACCCGACCATACCCCACCCACCTTACCCCTACCTCGTACCCTCCACCACCTGCCCTACCCCACCCCCACCCTCACCCATTACCCTACCCCTTTACCCCCTACAACCTCCCCCTACCTTGACCCAACCCTTACCCTGACCCCACCCCCTGCCCCTACCTCTACCCACCTCTACCCCACCCCCACCCTTGACTCAACCATACCCCACCCCCACCTTACCCCTACCCCTACGAGTTGGGGGTTGGTATGGGTGGGAGTAGGGGTGGAGGGTACGGTCGTGGTAAGGGTAGGGGGTAGGGAAGGGGTGGGGGTCAAGGGTGTGGAATTGGGGGTAGGGTGAGGGGTGGGGGTACAGGGTGGGGTAGGGGTTAGGGGTGTGGGTAAGCGACTAAGCGTATGAGGTGACCCCATATATTATATTATATACTTGTGTTAATGAATGTTTGTGTGTATATGTCTATAGGGTTATTTTGGACATTTTAATGTTAAACGGTGTTTTAAATCCTTTGAAGTAAACATGAGCTTACAACACTGCTTAGTTTATGCGCCGCTTATTAACGCGAGTCTTAATAAGCACCGTTTACTAACCCATGAAGTAAACGTGTCCCAAGAGTTTTTTTTGTGAAGAACTTGGCAAAGAGCATCGGTTATTCTCAGAAGTTTATGCATCAAGTATAAGACAAAAACGAATTCAAAGCTTGCCATTTTTCTACAGGTCCCAAGAATTGTAGCTTTAGATCTTCCATTTGGAAAGTTCTCAACTAAATGTTCTAACACTTTGCAAGTTGCGGCATACATGTGTATCAAACTCTTCACAGAGCTATAGTGAGAACTCTAACGACTAGATCTTGATCGTTGCAAATTGCCAAATTGATTTGCACCACTGCACGTCCCAACTCGCGCTCCCCGATTGCTAATAACTTCTCAATTTCACTTCTTTGAGACATGTGCAACTTCGATACCCACTTAGGTGAAGAAGTGATTAATATTAACAATATTATCCAAGTGAGAGAAGAATTCCCAAATTAAGCCAACATTCTTAGCCTCAGAAACCAACACAAGTTGTAAGCAATGTGCAAAACAATGAATGCAATATGCATAAGGACAATCTCTATGAAATAATGCCTGAAGACCATTCCATGAACCTCGCATATTACTCCCGCCATCATACCCTTGGCCTCTCATTTTTGAAACTTGGAGATCATGATGAGAAAGCACATCACATATTTTACCTATCAAGGTTGTTGCTACAGTGTCACCAACACTTCTGATGGCAAAGAAACACTTTGTAAGAATTCCACTGTTGTTCACGAACATTATAATAATCACCATCTGCTCCTATTTAGATATATCTTGTGCTTCATCAACAAGAATGCATAAACAACTGTTTGCAATTTCTTCACGAACCATTTGATGAACTCTATTCGCCATTATATTCAAGATCTCTTTTTGAAACTCGGGAGCAGTGTATTGAGCATTTTTAGAGCATTCTCAACTACAACTTCAGGAACTTTGGTATTCATACTCGCAAAAGCTTTTACTAGTGAAATAAAGTTTCCCAGACTTGATAATGTTAGAGATTCATCGTGACCTCTAAAGACACAACCTTGAAGTGCTAACCATCAAACAATTATAATAGAAGTTCTCAATCACAAACGATTTTTCACCTTTTCTTGTTGCGATTGAGCGTGCAAAACATTCTTATTATGGCCAGATGGTTGCCTCAAATTTTCAACTCTTTCAACACACATCATATGAGGTGATTTTCTGTAGTACCAATGTGTTGAAGAAGTGCACATTGACTCTCTTGATTTACCATGCACACCTAAAAGGGACCGGAGAGAAGAATTATATTGAGATAGTTTAGACATACTACACCTACTACATAAGTCACATATTTGTCCAAAATAGAAAAGTGTCTCATTTTTGTCAATAGGAAAAATATACACCCTCCATCCCACTTAAAGGTTCCACGCGGTTTACGATGTTTGATTGACAAAGGACATAGGGGATGACCTAGACAAGGGAACTTTTAACTTTTAAAGATGTTTTCTTTTGAACTGTTTTTTATCCTAGATCAGACCAGATCCAAACACACCACATCAGACTTGGACAGTTATAAAATATACAAAGACCAGATATTTATCAGACCAGATAAATTCAGACAAGTTCAAACCAAACCAGAATTAAATAGATCAGACCCATATCAACAAATTACAATCCAAAAAACATACTCCCTCCGTCCCGGAATTATCTTCATTCTTTCCTTTTCGGTCCGTCCCAAATTTATCTCTTTTTTTCCTTTTTGGTAAAGAATATGTGGTTCACAACCATTATTACACATTTCTCTCTCCTCTGCATAAATCTCCACCATACAAATTCCACTATCTTAAAACCCGTGCCCGGTCAAAACCGGAGTTATACTTTGTACTATTGGACTGGAACCGGAAGTCACGCCCAACCCGGCCCCTTGCCACCCCTAGCCTAATACTTCGACCTCGCCCATTGCGCACTGACCTGAAAAGTGTCTCTGCAATCGCCGTCGTTCAATTCCGGCCTGTCCACCACTTTTTTTTTTTGCTCTCTGGTCTCAAGATTTCAAATCTGCTGGTCCTTCTCTTCGGGGTTTTCGGTTTGTTTTTGTTTCGAATCTTTCGATCGACCTTTTCTTTGTTGAAAGATATTTGGAAATGGAAGCACCTAAAAAATGCAGACTCTGGTGGCCGGACCGTCTTTCTTCAACTTCTGAATTGAGTTCGCGTCCTTTTCATTTCTTGTTCGGGTGGTTCGTCTCGTCCCCTGGAGCTTCTCTTGATATTGTCGTCGCGTTCTCCTGCAGTGAAGGCACTCTAAATTACGCGGAGAGTTATTTGGATATCCAGGTAATGTTTCACCAAAAAGGTTTCAATCCGGGTAAATGCGTTTGATCTAAAAAAATCCAATCTTTTAGATTTGACCCGATTTTAAACAAATTGTTTAGGAGGAGTTGGCTTGCACAGACAAACTGTCCTAAAAAATTGTTTAGGAGGAGTTGGCTTACGGAAGCTAACGTCAGATTAGGAAAACGTAAGATAGCCTAATCAATAAGATTATCGTGGTATCAGAAGACTGTAATATTAACTGATATGTTTCTTTATGATATTAAAAAGAGATCGGACAGTTCCTTACGTATTATTGTAATAGAATTTATGCACAGTAAAGTGACTAAAATGCTTATACCATCAGAGCACTATGGTGTAAAATTGAACACCATGGCTAATAAGATTACTACATAGTTATTAAAGTATAAAATGTCACATCCTTTGTTGTACTCATATTTTGGTCATTATTTCTAATAAAATTGCAATACTAACCTGTTTTGGAAGAAGATACAATGCATCACGTAAAGATAGAATATTAACCTGTTTAGAAACCAAATGATATTGGATTACCCCCGGATGTTATCCATTTTTCCTATGTGGTGTAATTTGAGCTAACTATACAACAATAACATTACCCGAGTGTTGGATGTACACAACTTTACCCATGTACTAAAGCACAAATAAACTGTTTCCGGATGACCCAAGATGAAAATGACAATGAAAACTGTAATTTGAGCTAACTATATAGTTTTAAAACTTGAAACAAACAAGGTAATCTCACATTACAATCCTTAAAGTTTTACTACTCAAACCAAACAAGGTAATCTCACATACCTTATTACACATTGCCAATGCAATCATAGATAACATGACTCCCCTAGAATTTTCAATTTAATCACTATTATTGGATCTAGGGGTGGAGCCAGGGCACTGGGTCGGACCAGACTAGTACAAAGAATATTTTTGGGGAAACAATTACCCGAAACTTCTTATACAAAAAATAAAGACATTTTTTAAATTTGGGGTGGGCTAGGGCCTGAGTTGGCCCTCCCCTAGCCCCGCCCCTGATGGGATCATCTGCCATTTTGACTAATTCTTATAGAATTGTCATTTTAGTCACAATGTAACTGACTGGTTCAATTTAGTCACAATTGGCCCTCCCCTAGCTCCGCCCCTGATTGGGTCAATTTTTTGCCTACCATTTTTTTATTTGATAAATTCTTTCAAAATTGACATTTTGGTCGTTTTAAAGATTGTATGTAATTTTTAAAATTAAATTACTTGACACATTACTAAACAAGCAACATGGATTTAACAAATTGGCTCCATAATAACAAATCTTATGGCTAGTTTGGTAATTGTAGTGGAAGTAAATTGTTGTATGCAATTTTTAAAGTTAAAATACTTGATTACTAAACAAGCAACATGGATTTAACAAGCAACTAGGACTGACTACTCAGTGATTATTCGGCCTTGTAATGGTAGTAAATTGTTGTTAAAATGTAAGCTATAAGATTCTAATAGTATTAGTCTAATAGTCTTACTAGTGTTATTTATAAAGCAAAAAACAACAATTTACCATAACTAACATATATGATATTTCATAAAGTATTTAAGGAATACCACATCATCTTATCAATCCTAACTTTATACGCAAACTTAATCATCATTTGGTTCAAGAACAACATTGTCTTCATCTTCTTCCATGTATACAAACATAAAATTTATAGTTTATGAATTATTAAAATCTTAAAATAGTGTTTATTAAATTGAAGTCCCTAAATTCATTTGTAATTTCATAATGACCCTATTTTATTTTCAATCTTTTATGCTTAACTATGACCAAGTTACTAGCCGAGTAATCGAACTCACCAAGTCACTAAAATTGCCGAGTACTTGCCAAGTAATTCCTTTTTCCTAATCGGATCGAGTAGGTAGACAACTCAGCAAAGTTTAGGCTCAATTCGTGATACTCGGTGAGTACTCACCGATTTAAAAACATAGCTTATTGGTCATTGTTGCTCACTTAGGCTTTATTTAGTGAAGAGCCTATAGGAGAGATTTTAGGGTAGTGAAACAATTAGTTTCAGTGAACTATTTTTTTCAATTTGCTAAGTAAATGATCTGAAAAGGTTTAGTTTATTCTTTTTTAAGATACTTTGTGAATAGGCATTAACTAATATCTAAATAGGGGCCTTAATAACTAAACAGAAGCATGACAAAACCTCATTACTATATACCTTATTTTTTTTACAGTTCAAGATTGTATAACATAGACCCTTATTTAAATTTAAATTTAAATTTAGATTTAACGTGTCTGCCAAGTCAACTCGTTCAATTGTGACTAGCTTTATGCATAGGCCAAAATTGCATTCAATTTATGAAATTTTGGCTAGATTAGGCACTTGAAAAGGGTTGCCCAAAATCTCAATGAAATGTAAAGGATTGGCTAAAATTGAACCCACTCCAAAATATGTCTAAATTGCAAATTTAAAGAACTATCTACTAGAAATCTTAAGGCAATGATTTTTATATACCTCAGTACCATTACATGTTAGTCCTGTTATTTATATTAAGATTAGAAGCTTTAGTTTTTAACTTGTTAGATGGTGCTTTAATGCCAGGAGATACATTGAAAAGATTTCCCAGACATACTTGTTGTTTACACTTTACACGCCTCTCTCTCTCTCCCCTTTCCTTCTCTCTCTCTCTCTCGCGTGGGGTGACAATGAAAGAATTGTTACATGATTATAATGCCATTAACCAGGGCATTCTTCATGAGATAAATGATAATGCGCCAATGTTTCCTCAAGATGATTGCAAGATATCTTTATTTGGTTGTTATGTGGCCGATGGTGGCGATCACCATTCAATAAAGGTTGGAACTGAAACTGCTGGTCCGGGAACTTACCGTTCTGGTAATTTCTATGGCCAAAGTACTGTTGGAATGATGGATTGGAGATTATATTATGTGTGACACTAGTTTTATGTTTTAGCAGGGAAAAATAAGAGAATTGCAGAAATCAACTGGATCCAACTTGGCAATGATCATTCAGTGGTGCATGGTAGGGATATAGCACCAATTCCTAAGTTGAAATGTTTAAAATGGAGAGGGGTAGCTATAACCCAGTTAGATGTCCATGTATGTAAGTCATGATTATTCATCCATGTGTTTTTTTCTTGTCAACCAGATTGGGTAGTATCTTTAATCTTTTTATCTTTGTTTTAAGTGAATTCAGGTAATAGTATATGAGACTCCCCAATTCAGGAATCATCATTATTCGCTTGGTTATTCTCCAGCTGAGCATGTCAGATCCTCTATAAAGAAACCAATGTGGGCTCAGAATCTTTACCAAAAAAGAAGCCATATTGAATTGGTAATATTAGCTCTCAAGGTGCTGCTGTAGTGTCACTTCCTGATTACTAATTTGTCTTTTGTTTCCTGAAGGAAGAATACTGTGATTCAGACTATTAACACTGCTGGTGCCGCTAAAGTCCGTTTTGAGTCGCATTTTCCTGCCAAAAGATCCAGTACTGCATTTCATGTTTTTTCCATGTAAGTTCTTTGAAATCATGAAGTCCTTCCCTTTTCCACTTTTTTCCTTTTCTGTTACCGATTTGGTGTAATTGTTGACTCATCACAGGTTCACAAATTTTTGCTGGCTATTATTTGCCACAACTCTAGCATCGCTGTCAACATTCTTGTTTTCAGTTCTTCAGTCCTTCCTCACTGCTTGGAGCTATGTGTCACGCTGGTCTTTTGTACACACCATATTGGGTATTTTGTTTCATAAGACCTGCAAAAATTTAGAGGTCCGCTGCCCCCAGCTACTGTTTTGGCCAGTTTTTCTTCAAGGTTCCGGTGTCAGGTATTTTACTTGACCATTTATCAGTGATGTTGCAAACATGCTTTTCTAGTTCATTTCCGTCTCCACATTATATTATCAAATTGCATGGCAAGGATGAAGTATGGGATTTTGTAGTTATGTCTGGGGAGACAACCCATTAATACATGGTTAGAAAGCCTTCACTTCCCCCAATAACCAGTTATGTTTGGGTATACAATAAAGTTGATTTATCCTTACCACTTGCGTGCTCATTTAAGACCCATTGTATAATTTTACACTCATTTTGAGCTAAGTAGCACCGGGAAGGAAACGAAAGCGGGGACGGGGAAACTCCGATCTCAATCAGTGATGTCAATAGCGGCGCTATAACGCGCTATAGCGGAATAGCGGTGCGGCAGACATGGAAGCCGCTACATGGAGGGCTCTAGCGTGGCGTTTGGGTGTAGCGGCCATAGTGCCTGCTATCGCAGTGGTGCGGAGAAGCCTTTTGCGGCCGCTAAAGCGGCGCATTTTATATTAAAGAGGTTACTGCGCACTCTGGGATGGTTTTTAGCGTTTAATTTTTTAGGGTAGACATAGAAGGGGTAAATTAGACTTTTAAAACAAAATAATAACCTACTTAAAACCTTATACGTACGTTAAAGGCTTCTAAAAGCTCAAAACGAAGCCAGCTCTTGAAATACTCAGAACCTCTGCGATGACTTCTTCTCCAAGAACGACGATCATCTATTTCTGCTGCTCTGCGATGGCTTCTTCTCCAAGAACGACACATGCTGCTTTCCTCTGCCTTCAGTAGTACTACCTTCTGCTGCAACATCTTCTTCCCCAACCTTTGCTGCAGACCTGCGGTCTTCTTTTCTTCTTCTCATATGGAGTCTAGTCAGTCTACTCTCTTTTTTGATTGTTAATTTATCAAGGCTTAAACTCTTACACTAGAACCTTGCTTTTGACTCAATGTTTTGACTTAAAATGTTTTAATTTTTAATAGCATCTTATGTTTTGCTCATGAAACTAAAGAGTATTTTTAAGTAATTTAGGATTTTTGAATGTGATGTTTTCAACCTTCATTGGCATATGTCATACTTTTTGAATTCAAAATGTGTATGTAATGTATTATATGGAGTATATGCTTCCAGAAGTTACTTATCTATTATATTGAAAGTAGTCTAAATAGCGGTCATCCCGCTATCCGCTATACCGCTATAGTGTTTTTAGGGCTCGCCGCTACGCTCCGCTATCCGGGATTGACAACACTGATCTCAATATCAAGATACGGGTACTGCATGGAAACGTCAAAATAAAAATTAAAACTTTACTAATATAAACAGATAGCTATTACAGGGGTAATGCAATTTTCGACGTGATTTTTACTTTGGGTCATCTGGAAACAGTCTCTCTGTGCGTTGTGCGTTAGTACAGGGGTAAGACTGCGTACATCCGACCCTCCTTACCCCACCGTAGGTGGGAGCCTTTGCGGCACTGGGGTAATGATGATGATGAAACAAATCGCTGTTACATGAGGTCCAAAAAAATAAGAAATAATTAAACCAAACATTTGTCCTTTGTTATAATCCATTTACTAGCATAAAAAATAAGGAGTCGGCGACTGCTATTAAATCTAAAGTGGAGAAGCGGAGAGTAGACTACTGAAGTGCGGATACCAGACTCCCGGTGTCTTCCCTTGCGTCTGGCTGTTTGCTGAAAGACTTAGACTCCCAGTCGGGCTGCCTTCTTGCCGAGTTGTCGTCGACCATCGTTACTGAGTGGGAAATTGCTAAGCTCTCCCCGTTTGCCGATTCTCTGGTGCGAGGTATACGTTTCAACTTCAGCCTGGTTAGTCGATAGCTTATGTGCGGAACTTGGCCCAATAGCCCAATAGCTATTGGGCTATTTCCTCGTGACACGTCAGCTTTAAAACGTTTCAGAAACGTTTCTGGAACTTGGCCCAATAGCCCAATCCGTCAGATACGTTTTCCAGCGTTTCCCTCCCGTTTTTGGCCGTTTCCTCACGTTTCCCGTTTCCGAAACGTTTCCGAAACGCAAACTTGGAGGTCAACGGCGTTTCCGTGCTTCCTAGATTCTTAGCAAGCACTATTTTTGTAAAATCAAGTTAAAAGTAGTAGAATAAGACTATAATGCCCCTCTTAATGTTTTAAAGTACTATTAGTGTTTATGAGTGGAGAAGGGTCATCATCATCATCATTACCCTAGTGTCATAAAGGCTCCCACCTATGGTGGGGTAAGGGGGGTCGGATGTACGCAGTCTTACCACTGTACTAAAGCACAGAGAGACTGTTTCCGTATGACCCATAGTGAAAATCGCGTGCATGGACTGACTGGTGCTTCATAACAAAGAAGCGCATACAGTTTAGTGAGCCATTTTGCTTTATTCCATCACATTCCTAAGCCAAAAAAGCAGCGAGTGTTTGGCTCCATTGCAAATGATGGAAAATATGAGTGGAGAAGGGTAATGACAGAAAATAATAAATCAATGCTCTTTTGGTATCCTAAAACATCATTTATTAGGGATTAATTTTTTCTCTCTAAAGCGATATTAGAAAAACGAAGGGAGTAAGAGATAAGTTAGATCGAGGTTTTCTGCTGGTTGCATGATGAAATTGACTAGAACTCCTTGCCAAGATCTCTTCAGTCTCAGTATTGGTAGGGCATCAAGCCTGGAAATCGAGATCATTAAATTTTTCTCTTCTAATTCAAACAATGAGCATTTTCAAGTTCATAAGCAAGGGAGTTTGTAGCATAGGCAAGGGTAGAGACTGCTGATGTAGTGATGTGTATTTAGTCTTTGTTGGTGATATTGTAGATATTTTTACACGTGGCTTCTTTCTGTTTTTTTCTCTTCTTGGAACATTTTCATCATAATGGTAAAGTGTCATTGACTACTTGGGACATTCAGATCTATCATTTTTTGGGTATCAATGCGTGTTTTTTTAGACCTGTAGTGTCAACTGGGTCGTTGATGATTTGCTGTATTTATTGAAGGAGTGATGTACCCCTCAAACCCTTATTTACCAGTGAGGTCTTAAGGAGTTGGCATCTTTTGTACACTTGAGTCCATCGTTTTAACACGCTATTGAGGCATATACCTTTAGGGTTACCTCTAGGTGAAGCTATAGCAAATTGCCTTGAGGCCTTAGTCTTCATGTGACAGAGTAGTTTATGTCTCACCTGAGTGAGGCTTATGCCTCATGAGGCGTATGAGGCTTACACCTGTAATGGAATGCATAGATGAACCATTTTACATGTTATTTTTTGTTTTGTTTTGTCTTGTTCTGTTTTGTTTATGTAATTTAGCTCAGCAAGGCATGTTTTCATTAAAAGATTTGGGATGATTTTAGTTAGCTTTTTATGAAAGGCTTAGATGAGAGCCAACATGTTATTTTTTGTTTTGTTTTGTCTTGTTCTGTTTTGTTTATGTAATTTAGCTCAGCAAGGCATGTTTTCATTAAAAGATTTGGGATGATTTTAGTTAGCTTTTTATGAAAGGCTTAACACAACAAAGCCCCTGAACTCTTGATGACTGTTTTCTGCCCAGCTGTCAACTGCATTCTTTCTTTATGGTTCTACTGGACTGCTTTCTTCTTGACCCGATAGACGCTTTCAGCACTAGCAAGTAGCAACCAACTTTGTTATCTACTCTACGTCGTCATATTTCATATTTTCTTCTGTGTGGAAGAGAGTGGACTTAAATATTCATTAATTTTTATAATTTGCATGCAGCTACAGTTGTTACATGAATTGCCATGTCATATTTACTCAAGAATGATGGCGTTTTTTATTTTCAAACTTAAATGACCTGTATGAATTTTTAAATTATTATATATTTAATATTTTACATATGACTTTTCTTTCTTGATCTGCCTTTAGGCTTAAACCTAGTGACTCGTGAGGGCTAAAACAATTGCCTCAAAGCTCACTTGTGCTATTTAAAACCTTTATTAATAGAAAACATGGGCAAAATTCTCTTTGGTGAAGGATTAAAAGCTTGTTTGTTACTCCATATACTACCTCCGTCCCATAAAATAAGTCCCATTTCAATTTGGATCGGAGTTTAAGAAAGTGGGAATAAAGTGGAAATGTATGGTTGTGGTTGAGTAAGAAAAAGGTAAATGAATGTTAGCCACACAAAACTTTCCAAAAAGTGAAATGGGAACAATTTTTTGGGACGGTCCAAAAAGGAAAGTGGGACTTATTTTATGGGACGGAGGGAGTAATTTTTTAAAATTTCTTAACAGCCACGTCATATAGAATCTCATTTACAGAACTTCTTGTTTTTCTGCTTCATTATGCATTTCCATTTTTAAGACTATGTAATGCTCAATTTCCATTCATTTTAGGTGTCAACCTTGTGTGGAGTATTCTGAAATGGCAGCATTTCGTAGACACTTTGTGTGGTCTAGTCTTTTTGTTGATCTTCTTCTAGGAAATGTGCTTGGCATTCTATTGTCTTCTCAAGCAGAAGCTGTTTGCTCATTCATTTTGAGTTTAGCTGATGGCATAACCAACCATGTTCTGCGTACTGGTTGTGTATGGCTGATGGGAAACCCAGCTGGTTTCAAGTTGAATGCTGAGTTAGCCGGTGTCCTTGGAATGGTTTCTCTTAATGTTGTTCAGATATGGTCCACTGTTTGGTCATTTATAAATTCCTTTTTGCCTTATCTCCTGAAAACAATTGCTGTATGTGGCCGTATTTTTGGTCTGACTACTGCTTCTGCTTTGACCATTGACATAATCTCATTAGCAACGTTCCATTTGTCTGCTCTTCATTGGTTACTTTCACTACTCTATTCAAGGCAGATACAATTTATATCAACTTTGTGGCGCTTTTTCAGGTATTTACATCACACTGTTATTAATGTCTAGCTGTTGCTTTGAGCAGCATTATTTTTTGTTTCCATTGCATTTCTCCCTCTTCATACTGGCTCCGATAGGTTGTAATTTTTGTACTCCCTCCGCCTCAAAAAGAACTAAAGTTCCAAACATTTTTGTTGTACCGAAAAAAGAGTCCAATTTAGTCTAATACGCTACGTTTTCATGTTTCCCTAAAAAAACAGGCATAGACAAGTTATACAAGATACAATAGTTAAACCATGAAATAAGCTTGAAAAATATAAACACGATTCATGTTTTACATCAGCTGTACCTTACCAAAATTAAAGAAGAGGAATTACACTGACTATAAATAAAAATACAAAAGATCCACCTGCAATGGATTCTATACAACAGTTGTAACAGTAGCAAACTACGCAACAGTTGTAACAGTAGCAGGATAGTAGCTAATAAAGATCCAATACTGATACTGCACAACCAATAGCAGTAGCATGATATGCCTCAGTCGCTTGAGTCACTTACATCATAACCACTGTATTCGTCGTTATATGTAAGATTTTTTTCATTGGATGTCAAAATTATCTTTAGAGGATATATTTATAAATCAATAATACCTTTTTTTTATTTGCCATGAATTAAAAGTTGTACATTGGTCTAACAAGACTGTTTTCTTGGGCCTTAAGGCATTAGTAGTATTATTGGAGTCCAGTTATCTGCATAAGTTATTTTTATGCAGACAATGATGCTACTATCTAACATGTTCAACTGGATAACAGAGGTAGGAAATGGAATCCTCTTCGGCAGAGATTAGATAGCTGCGGTTACACAGTGGAACAACATGTTATTGGCTCTCTTCTGTTTACTCCTCTCTTCCTTTTGTTACCAACTGTTACTGCATTCTATATTTTCTTCACGATTATAAATGCAAGTCTAGGGTTGATTTGCATAGTTATTGATTTGGGGATATTAGTTATCCACGTCACACCATATACTAAAGTTGCTCTTTGGTTGCTGAGGAAGAAACGATTTCCTTGTGGTATATGGTTTGAGATTGCAGCTCTTCAATGTGATTTGACAACCTCTTTACACATTGGGTCTTCAGATGAAACCGTCAATCTGGTGGCCAGCAGAAATTGTTACAGATCATCTGGTGTGGTTTTGTTTTTGCGAGGCAACTATTTGAGCTTAAGTAAGTTCAAGTAAACACATTCAGTGGGAATTTGTCACATTAATATAAAGTGGTGCTAAACAAATTGATTTTTTTAAGCAAATAATGATTAAACACCGATTGACTAAACGTATGATGCCTTCATCATAGGTTTTCATACCATGCCTCACCATCTCTACTCTCAGTTGTGAGAACAAAGATCAATCTTTAAACAAGATATGATATTCTATGCTAATCTGTGTGGTTTGCTTACTGTTCAAGTATGTTGGCGAGCTTTTATTCAATGAGAATGAGCATAAATTGTGTATTTACGCAGGAGAAGTGGTTTGGCCCCATTATAGTTGTGTGTTTTCAGCAGTTTCAAGGTCGTCCATGGCATCATCAGCCTACAGAGTTCTAACAGGAAAACGGTGGGCATCTGTTTGTTCCCTTCATGGTGTTGGTTACCCTCATTCACATTTTTTTTTGTAATATCTTTTGCCCTTCACTGCAGTATTTCCTACACACTAGGCACACGTGGGCTACCCAGGAAGCTGCCATGGATGGCCGTTCCATACAAAGTTTACTGGCACCTCTGTTGCGATGCAATCCTTTCTTGCGGGAAAGACTGAAAGCCATGTTGTGGCGGCGTTAATCGAGGATGATGCTTGGTTAATATAATATGGTGGTTTGATCGAGTGATGATGATAATGATGGTTATGATGATGATGATAATGATAATGACAATGATGATGGTTAATATAATATGGTGGTGGTTTGATATGTTTTATGAGATGTAGTTTATTCGTTCTTTTGTTTATAGCTTAGGGCCTGCTTTAAAAAAAGTAATCAGGTTATTCAGTCAGTGATTATGAATTTATGATAAAAAGAAATGAGATTAAACTAAGGAACAAAGCGTTGTTTCAGCTAAAGAAACTATTAAAGAAAAGGTTTAGTGATTTGTACATTAGCCATTTGTGATTTTAAACAATGCAACAAATTAGGGATGGACTCGGGTCCGGGCCGGGTCTGGGTCGGGCCTAGGCCCGGGTGGGCCGGCGGTTCAAGAATAGTGGATCGGGACCGGCCCGGGTAGCCACCGGGTCCGGCCCGGGTAGCCACCGGGTCCGGTCCGGGTCTGGGCCGGGCCGGGCCTCCGGTTTGGATTTTTTTTTTTGCTTTCCTAACCCCCCCCCCCCCTCACCCCCACCCTCCCAAACCCCCCCAAACCCATCCTACCCATCAAGCCCAACCCGGGTGAAACCCCAAAAATGAAAAAAAAAATAAAAAAAATTCAATTTGGCCCGGGCCTGGGCCCGACTCGGCCGGGCCGGTTCACCAAAATTGAGACCCGAGCTCGGACCCGCCCTACCCCCCGGGCCTAGGCCCGACCCGGATCCGGACCCGAGAACCGGGCCGGTCCCGTCCCGCACAGTAGCGGGCCGGGTGGCCCGACCCGAGTCCAACCATACAACAAATGCATGTGCATTAAAACCATTAAAGAAAGTACTTTTGCATACCAAGAATGAGAAGATGAAAGAATTATTGATCATCTATTGAAAAACAATAAGTTTACCTATCTTCATACTTCAGCCGAAATTTTTAAAAGTTCAATACAATTGTTTTTGACCTTTTGTTTATTTATGGTTATTTGGCAATGTAAACATGCACGGAATCAATTGATTTTTTTTGAATCTGCAGTTGAAATGCAGGGATTTTTAAAAATTGTATTTAAAATCTTTTTTATTAGTAAAATAGAGAAAATGTTATATTAAAAATAAAAATAATCTTCTTCAACAAATTCAATTAGAAAAGTAATTTTAGCCTTATTTATTTTTATTATTGCTCAATTCAGCATAAACAATCAAAAGTTTAATGTGAAAAAAATTGGTTGATAAACGAAAGAATCAAATAGGATCTTTATTTTTATTCATTTTTGTTTTATTTCCATATAAATGAAGAACATCATCCCTTTCAATTAAATGTAGATTTGGTTTGAGACTGTCTTTGAGTGATCAGTAAACCACTTAGATTGGTAGATTAGAATCAGTTTAGTTGGGATTGGGCTTAGGCACAGTTTTGCTTTAATTCGGTACTGGTTTGGGATAAGAACTGGAGTCCCACCTTACTCTCAATATCAACATGTTTTTCCCACATGAATTTGTTTATTATGAATTTTGATTTATTAAATTAAGATTTATGCGATACAATGTGAGCCGTTAGTGTAGTTTCTTCACTAATTTATATTATGAGGTTTATAACATATTCTCAAATGCCGTGCAAAAGCTCATTGATGAATAGATGAACAATTGGGTCAGAGTTTGCATGCTAAGTTTCTACATCAACAGAAGCATTTGATTTGCATATAAATAAAATTATATTCTTTTAACTTGGGTCCCAAGTGTGGTTAAGTATATGTGATAAGCTTGATTGAATGTTTTAAGAGAACGCCTATCAGTCAAACACGAAACACATACAATTATTCAAATAATACAATTCCCTCTGTGCTTCCAAGGTAACTATTAAGTTACTTTTAAACCGCTGAGAGCTCTAACACGAAACACATACAAATGATGTTGACTTTAGGATGTTTTTACTTGGATTGAAATTTTATAATCTGGTCTGGTCTGAATTGGTCTAGTCTGATAAATGTTCGATCTCTGTGTTTTTATAACTATCCAAGTCTGGTCTAATCAGGTCTGATATGATCCTGGATTGAAAACGGACCAAGTAAAACATGCTTAAACAAAAGCTAGGATTTGTCTTATTTGATTTAATAGGAAGGGAATAAATCTTGATGTTTTCAAACATCTTATTTGCCTCCACCCCACAGAGACACAGAGTATCCATGAATCAATGATAACTCAATATATTGGTTCTGATGTAATAACCTTCACAATAACAGATAGACAACTAGAAATTTAATGCAATATACGCAAATACTTAAATCACACATGCAATCAGGATTGTGAAGAAATCTGTAACCTTTGATGAAACCAATTGTCAGAAACAAAGACAATGTGGGTATGTGTTCTACACTTCTACTAAACTTAGTCTTGGCCATAATTCTTGAAAAATTGCATTATAATCTATTTTAGTACAATTTCGGCTGAAAGCAGAACTTTTAATGCGCTCTTGTATTATTTCAACTAGCCTTATCAACGCACAACTTTTTCTTCACATAAATAAACATGTTTATGTTTACCGGGCATGTATATGGTCATTCATTTTGTTTTGAAACTTCTGGTTCGAAATAGAAAAAGGGTATCTTAGACAGTTAAGAGGCCAAAATAGAGTTGTTTGAAGTGCTGAAGGGGTTTATTGTTGAAAGTTCCAAGTAATTGTTGAGTATTTGGCAAGTATATCATGACAAGAAATGCAGTGATTGAGGTATGAATGTAAAGCACTTTGCAGTGACAAAAAATTACATCAGGACTAACCAGAGAAATGTAAAACACAGTACAACAAAAAAACTAAAAGGAGGCATGAGAATACCACAAAAAATTGCCCCATATTGCAAGGATTGCTACTGAGATGGTAGGTCTCTCTAGCAATATTCAATCTGCTTCTTGTTTATCAAACTTTACACTCTTATATCTATCCCCTTCTACATCTTATGAAGAGCAAGAGCAAGATCGCGGAGCTCCTCAAAAGCATCCATGGTTTCTGCATCAAACCCTCCAGCAAACTGCACATAATGGATGCAAAAGGTAGATTTAGTAGTGGCATTTGCTATAGAACTAGGTTCTTCAATAGATTATGAATCTTATGAAAAAAGTCATGTTTCTAATACTAAAAAACACTAACAAACCTGATGAATTCTGAAAGCAAACCTCACGCCTTGCAGTAGCATATAGTCCATGGAAGTATCTTTATCTGATGGCCCCTTGCACTGAAGCTCCATAGCTACCCTCTTCATATACAACTTTGCCAGTTTCACTGAGCCTAGCTTTATCTATCATCATATGATTGCAGCAAATTACTATCTAAGAAGTCACAGTACGCAGTTTTTCCTTCAGGCCTCTTTATCTACTTCAAGCCAACTATAGTTTTTCTTTAAAAAGGGGTCTTCAGATTGGGGGGGGGGGGGAGAGCAAACCTTGCTTAATATCCCATTGTCATGCATCCACTCAGTCGGGATCTGATATTTGTTGCAGTGGCGGGTTAAAGAATCTCTTGATCGAAGAAGACTATATGTGGCGCGCTCCATCCTTCAAAGGAAAAATACATAGATAAATAAATATATGTCCAGTCACACCACATTCACAGCTACACAGGATTTCAAAAGATCTTACTTCTCTGACAAAGAAACCATTTTCTTGAGCGCAATATCACATGGCAATCCAGGATCATCATTGTAATGTGAAACTTCACTCTCCAACTTCTTTAAATCTCTATATCCAAATGCTGCCTCCCTTAACGTGTCAGCTTTGCTCTCTGGCCAATCAAAGTGCTTCAGGACTGCTCTTTCATCCACCTTCAAGGACATTGAAACCACAAGCAGGATTATAAATAGGACGAGTAGCTTCATTTTGTTGGGGTTTTATAAATATCTATGTTGGTTGTTGCTTAATTGGAGGATAATCTATCAACTTACCAGAAAGCAAAGTTCATCATCAAGCCATTTCACAAATGCAACAACATCTTCAATATCCAAAAATGTTGCATTGTTTACTTCACTTATAAGGGACTTCACAAATTCCCCTTGAGTTTCAACGTCAGCCTTTATCTATACATAAAAAAATCCAGATGGTAACTTGCAATTTTTATCAATCGATTAAATGGAATCTTTATTGCATGAGAAGAAGAAACAAAAAGGGAAGAAGCTTACAGCAAGCAAATAGGAAGAGCGGTTCGCGATTTCACCAATCATGCTACTACGAGCATCAGCAACATTTGAGACATCACAAACTCCATTCAGAGATTCCTTTCTTGAGTCTCTTTTCATGAGTGAGTGATAGAACTCAACTACTTGTGGAGCTCTTTGCACTGTTCCTGTTGTACTACTTCTAACCATGACCTTTGGGGGAGGTGGTGGCGGAGGGGGGAGGGGAGGAGGAGCTTTGGCAGAACTTTCCTTCTCCTGCTCACTGGGAACTGTCACTCTAGGTGGGGGGTTCGGGACCCGCAATGTTCGTCTCTCAACCTCTGAAGAAGAAGACAAAGAAGCTGTCACTCTATCCTGGAAAACATGAGGCTCATTTTCCTTCCCCACTTCTTTTAAACAAATGAACCCATCAGATTGTCTTCTCATGCTGATCTTCAAGTCTTCACCATAACATTTTGATCCGCTAATGGAGTGCCGCCTGGCGTAATTCTGGTTAATATCTTCATCAGTAATAGGCCATTTCTTGAGCTTTTTAATCAGACTCAACCTCTTGCTGGCATTACTACTGCACTTCAAGGAGTCTTCATCACTTTGATAAGATGAGACAGAAGCAGATTCCCTGCTTTTGTCACTATATTCAGGACTAGAAGGAGGCTTATCACGCAGCTCATCTCTTAAACATGAGTTCTCCCATCTCAAGTAGGCAAGCTCCTCAACTTCATTTAAACGACTCAACTGCAGACCCTCCACTTGTTTGCAAAGTGATTCGTTCCTGTGTCTTAACAATGAGGCCTCTGCTTTGATCTTATCAACATCATTCTCCTGATTAAGAAAATAAAACAAGTAGAAAAATGTGTTATCTTCAAATCGGAAAATATAGGCCCGCAATATTAGAAAAGATTCCTGTCCTCTATAAGAGTCACTTCCCAAATTCCAACAAAGGAAGCAGCATTGAAGAGCACTGATTGGTCAACTACTCTTTCAGTGAATATTTAAGTTCATCGTTTTAAAAGTCACCACTAGGCTCCCAATTAATCCCATTCTAGGTGCCTCAGCTCCCCGTGGATCTCTTTCCCCTATTAGTCACCTACTAGACTCAGTCACTCAGAGTATAACATTTAGTTGGGG